AATAATATAGCACATATTCTTATTATACTTTTGTGTATAGATTGTATATTCTCTAATAAAAAAATACAAAATAAAATACTTTTCCTTGATTAATTCTTCTAAGATATTTGGTATTTATTTAGAATGAATACTTTAATAATCGTAAAATAATCATTAAATTTAAATTTAAAATGTATTTTCCTACTTGTAAAATATTAGGTACACTTAATGGCCTATCTTAAGAGTATATTGTATATACTTATATATTTTAGATAGACCTCAGCACTGATACTTAAATGACAAAYTATATAGCAGAATTTACCGTAGTATGTATGATACGAGTATCTATTATAAAATAGTAGCTARGGAAGTTCATTATTTTAACGATTCTAATTTACAGTTTACGTATTTTTAAGTACCTATGAATAGATTAAAAATTGTCTTGAATATTTCCTTTATAATTATACTGTGATAAAACTCAAGTCTTTGAACAAATCTTATAAGTTTCGGGCGTAAGTTGATTAATGACAACAGGAAATTATATACAATTTTATATACGTTTTCCTTCAAAAATAATTTCTCACGACAACCGATCATGCGAAAATTACCTACATAATAATGCAATATAGCTAATATTTATACAATATATTATCATATAGAATGCATATTACTTCAAACTCAAAGAATTTAAGTTTTAAATTTATAGATTTATAATTATTATGATATAACCCTCATATTTTGTTTCTTACCACGCTTTAAAAAAAAAACATATATATATATAACATATTTTGGAAAGTTTTCAAATGAATAATATGCTGAACATTATAATACAATATATGATTAATAATCTCGTCATAACAAAATTAACATAAAGCTTCATTTTTACTCTATTATTWAGACAGATTAGTAAATAAACGCGAATAAAATAATATAATATTTTTCAGCAAGGTATACCTACTTTAGTAAGTAGTTGAAAATACATTAAACAAGATATTTGTCTATATTATTATTATTATACTTTTCATGTCATTTTTAGCACACCTAGTCGGGAAATTAATTGTTTTATTTAAGTTTATTTAATTTTATTGTTCTATGTACTTAAAAGCTGGGGTTCATTCACCTTTAAAAAAAGTCCAACTTACGTAAATCAAATTGTACCTCGTATTTAAAATAAATATGATTTAATTTCGATCTTTCGATTTTTATTTTTTAAATTTTATTATTTGTTTAAAGCAGTTATTCGAGTTACTTAACATGCAGGTTGCAGGCATGCAGTTAAACTTGTTAATTTGGTACATCTATTAAATCTATATTTTTTTCAATAAAGAACTGCAACTTTCTTATAATTTTATACTCACCATCCAGTCTCTTGTAGGATTTTTTTTTTTTTAACTCGAGAATCTTTTTCAATATCAGCACTTGGTGGTGGCATAATTAATAATTTTTGTAATTACTAATTWCTATACATATATGCCTAGTTTATGTAATCTAGAGCAAATAATTAATTGGATCAAACTAAGTAGGTAAATAGATGTTATTTCGGTTTTGTTTAATGACGTAGGATTTAAGTTCTTGAAAAAATTTTTTTGATAATTACACAACTCCCCATCATCTTGTTACCACCACGATACTTATAGGATCATAAATGTACTTGATTTGTAAATACTACTATACTTTGAGTAAAATAACTACAGAAACTTTAAACTAGATTTGATTCATTTCAGCTATTAATATTATTTACCTACTTTGAAAAATAATTGAATAAAGACACTCATTAATTAAATACTTATTTTTTTTTAATATCAATCAATTAATTTATGAAAGAAAGTATATTGTGAGTGTTTTTAAAAATAATTGAATAAAAACTTACCCTGATCTCTTATTAAAACAAGTTTAAGTATGTTTTATAATTAAATTAAAATAACGTTGTTCAAAATAAATATCTTAAATTATTTATAAATATTTAGAAGTACCTATTTGTTTTTAAAAAACTTCATTAAATCATGAATTTTTTTATGTTGGTACCTACTTGGAATCGAACACTTTCTAATTTATATTATTATGATAAATAAAATGTATTCTAGTTACAGTTCAACAAATATAAGAGTTTTGATAAAATAGTTTTTTATGTTATATATGTATAAGTATTATAACCTCGAAAGATTCGTTTTTCCGGTAAAATAATAAATAATAAATAAAGAATACTAATAAACAAGTTATACAAATAATACACTTGCTTAAAACTCATGGTGACCTCGAGGCTTGATTTTTTTTGGTCAGGCATAACTTTTTTTTTTTAAATCATCGTCATATTTTGAAAAA